CAGACCACATTGCACACTTGTTTGTTTGTTTGCTTGTTTCCAGACTGCATTACACACTTGTTTGTTTGTTTGCTTGTTTCCAGACCACATTGCACACTTCTTTGTTAGTTTCCAGACTGCATTGTATTTGTTTGTTTGCTTGCTTGTTTCCAGACTGCATTATACACTTGTTTGTTTGTTTGCTTGTTTCCAGACTGAATTACACACTTGTTTGTTTGCTTGCTTGTTTCCAGACTGCATTGCACACTTGTTTGTTTGTTTCCAGACTGCATTGCATTTGTTTGTTTGCTTGCTTGTTTCCAGACTGCATTATACACTTGTTTGTTTGTTTCCAGACCACATTGCACACTTGATTGTTTGTTTGCTTGTTTCCAGACTGCATTACACACTTGTTTGTTTATTTCCAGACTACATTGAACACTTGTTTCTTTGTTTCCAGACTGCATTGCTTGTTTTCAGACCGCATTACACACTTGTTTGTTTGTTTCCAGACTGCATTGCACACTTGTTTGTTTGTTTCCAGACTGCATTGCATTTGTTTGTTTGCTTGCTTGTTTCCAGGCTGCATTATACACTTGTTTGTTTGTTTCCAGACCACATTGCACACTTGTTTGTTTGCTTGTTTCCAGACTGCATTACACACTTGTTTGTTTGTTTCTAGATGACATTGCACACTTGTTTGTTTGCTTGTTTGTTTCCAGATTGCATTGAACACTTATTTGTTTGCTTCCAGACGACATTGCACACTTGTTTGCTTGTTTCTTTGTTTTTAGACTGCATTGCAAACTTTCCTTATTTGTTTCCAGATGGCATTGCACTCTTTCCTTGTTTGTTTGTTTGCTTGTTTCCAGACCGCATTGCACACTTGTTTGTTTGTTTGTTTCCAAACTGGCGGCTGCATTGTGCCACAAAATCTTCCATCTGTAACGGACCAACTGTGGTCTGTGTTAAGAATTTGGCTGCATTCGACCTTTTATTTTCCCTTCCTTTCATTTATAAATTGCACTGCCATTTAACAGAAATGTCAAGGGATGGAAGGCAGGAAGGAAAAGTTTTCTTGACTCCTGCTGCAGATATTTTTGCCTTAGTGAGATACAACAAGCAAAACGATAGCTACAGGTGGGTCTTGGCCTCCACACAAACTATTCAATAATAATAATAATAATAATAATAATAATAATAATAATAATAATAGACTTCGACAATAATAATAATAATCTATCACAATCAGATAAGTCATTTGAAACTCAAGTTGTGGAGCTGATGTAAAATTAATATAAGGTCCAATCTTATTTTTGGGAAAATACGGTAGCTTTGGATACCAAGGACTGTTTCTCCCCATTCATCGTCTGCCCGCTTTTTCTTTGCCAGGCTGAAGATCTTTTCGGAAGAAAGCGTCCCTCTCTTTGGGCCCCCACTTCCCTCTCCGCCGGTCTTTACGGACCACCAGGAATTCAGGGATTTTCTGCTCGTGAAACGTAAGATAGGATTTTAAAAGCTCTTTGTTTGGATCTTGATTATGTTCATAGAATCATAGAAACAAAGAGTTGGAAGAGACCTCATGGGCCATTCAGTCCAACCCCATCCTGCCAAGAAGCAGAATATTGCATTCAAATCACCCCTGACAGATGGCCATCCAGCCTCTGTTTAAAAGCTTCCAAAGAAGGAGCCTCCACCACACTCGGGGCAGGGAGTTCCACTGCTGAATGGCTCTCACAGTCAGGAAGTTCTTCCTCATGTTCAGATGGAATCTCCTCTCTTGTAGTTTGAAGCCATTGTTCTGTGTCCTAGTCTCCAGGAAGCAGAAAACAAGCTTGCTCCCTCCTCCCTGTGGCTTCCTCTCACATATTTATACATGGCTATCATATCTCCTCTCAGCCTTCTCTTCTTCAGGCTAAACATGCCCAGCTCCTTAAGCCGCTCCTCATAGGGCTTGTTCTCCAGGCCCTTGATCATTTGAGTCACCCTCCTCTGGACACATTCCAGCTTGTCAATATCTCTCTTGAATTGTGGTGCCCAGAATGTTCTTGCATAACATATGGGCTCACCAATAAAGCATAGGATTAGAAGGGATCCCCAAGGGCCATCCAGTCCAACCCCCTTCTTTGTGCCAGTCAGTCAAAGCACCATCTGACCCCTCCCGACAGATGGCAACAACAACAACAACAACAATAATAATAATAATACAATTTACAAACATTTTATTTAAAGAATGAACAACAAGATGGAGGAAATAACAGGAAAAAATAATTTTTCTTCCTTCAGTGATCAACGGGGAGAAGGCCACTCTGGAGACCCCGACTTTCGCCCAGAAGCGGCAGCGCACCTTGGACATGCTGATCCGCTCTTTGTACCAGGACCTCATGCCCGACATGCACAAGGTGTGCTTTGGACCGCCATGCGTTTGGGTCGGAGTCGAAGGGGGGGCATCCAGTCTGACCCCTTTGAGTTAAGCATGAACCCTAAACTAAAGGTGTGCAAAATGGCTGAAATCTCATTTTGGAGATTTGGAAGGCCCCCTGCTTTGCTTCCTAAAGATTCGTAGGGGTCTCATTTCCATCTCGTAATCCAAATCTCCCAAGCCTCGTAATGGTTTTGTTAAGATTTTTTTCTGTCATATTTATGGCTATCAGGAGGAAACCAGGCACACTTGTAGGCAACATTTACAACTTTAATCCCACCAAGTTTCAGAACGTTTTGGTCATCCACTGATTTTTAGGAAATTTTTAAAGTTTGGCTCGTTTGGTCAACCTATCTTTGGCTTTGCTTAGAACATGCTCAACAGGAGGTCCTTCAGCGACGTCTTGCCCGAATCCCCGAAATCGGCCCGGAAAAAAGAAGAGGCCCGCCAAGCTGAGTTTGTCCGTCTTGGCCAGGTATGTGTGCATTACAGGGACACTCTTCCAAACGCAATGATAACAACACTTTGTAGTACTATGATTCTTGTTCCTGGGTTATAAATGTCATTTCCTAATTGGTTATATCATAAAAACATGGGGAAAGTAAAAGTAAAAGTGGGGTATAAATAAACATAATAATAAACATTAATAATAATAATAATAATAATAATAATAATAATAATAATAATGTTTATGATGTGGGGGAAGGAGAGTTTCCATCCTTAGGAGTATTTCTGTCTGGAAATGCAATTCAAGGAGACAAACAACAAGATTGCTTCCCTGGAGAAGAAGAAAGAATGCAACAAAACAAAACATGACGAGGAAACCTTGTGGGGCATAGTCGAACTATCTATCTATCTCTCTTTCTATCTATTTGCAAGTGACGTCTTTATTATTGGGTTTCCAGGCATTCAAGCTCAAAATGATTGTGAGAGGCGATGCCCCGGCCATTTTGGCAACCGCCAGCCTCTGCAAGAAAGAGGTGAGTTTGGTTTTTTAAATGGTGCTTGGAAACAGGAGCGTTGGCTCAGAAAAACCCAAATGGGTTTTGCTTACTGTGAACCAACTGCCTACAAACAACAAGATTGCTTCCCTGGAGAAGAAGAAAGAATGCAACAAAACAAAACATGAAGAGGAAACCTTGTGGGGCATAGTCGAACTATCTATCTATCTCTCTTTCTATCTATTTGCAAGTGACGTCTTTATTATTGGGTTTCCAGGCATTCAAGCTCAAAATGATTGTGAGAGGCGATGCCCCGGCCATTTTGGCAACCGCCAGCCTCTGCAAGAAAGAGGTGAGTTTGGTTTTTTAAATGGTGCTTGGAAACAGGAGCGTTGGCTCAGAAAAACCCAAATGGGTTTGCTTACTGTGAACCAACTACCTAATTTATTATTTACTAAAAAAGAGCCCTTCTTTCCCCACCTATTCTTGTCCCTTTTCTCATTCCTTTCCTTCCTTTTCTTTCTTCTCCCTCATTCCCTTCCATTCTTTTCTTTCTCTTTTTCCTCTCTTCCTCCTTTCCCTCCTCCTTCCTTCTTCCTTCCTTCCTTCCTTCCTTCCTTCCTTCCTTTCTTCCTTCTCTTCCTCCTTCCCTCCTTTCTTTCTCTCCTTTTTCTCTTTCTCCTTCCTTCTCTCTCTTCCCTCCCTCCTCCCTCCCTCCTTCCTCTCCCTCTCCCGTCCCTCCCTCCCTCTCTTTCTTTCTTTCTTTTTTTTCCCACTTCCTTCTCCATGCCTTTCTTTCTCTCCTGTTTCTCTCGGAATTTCCTTCCCTCCCTCTCTTCCCTTCCTTCCTCCCTCCCTTCCTTCCTTCCTTCTTCCATCCCTCTCCCTCCCTTCTCTATTCCTTTCTTTCTCTCCTCTTCCTTCAAATTTCCTCCTTCCCTTCCCTCTTCTTCTTCCCATCCTTCCTTCTCTTCATTCTTTCCATTCCCTTCCCTCTCTCCATTCCTCTCTCTCTCTTTTTCCTTCCTGCTTCCTTCCTCTCTTCCCTCCTCTTCTTCTTCCTCTCATTCTTTCTTCTTCCTCCTCTCCTTTCCTTTCTTTCCATTTTTATCTCTTCCTTCCTTCTTTTCTTTTCTTCCTTTCTTTCCCTACCTGTCTCTTCACCATGCCTTTCTTTCTCTCCTTTTCCTCTAATTACCTCCCTCCCTCCCTCTCTTCCTTCCTTCCTTCTTCCTTCCTTCCTTCCTTCCTTCCTTCCTTTCCCTCCCTCCTCCCTCCCTCCCTCCTCTTCCTTTCCTTCTTCCCCTCTCTCCCTCCCTTCTCTTTCCCTTTCTCTCCTCTTCCTTCATTTCCTCCTTCTTCTTTCCTCTCTCCCATCCTTCCTTCCTTCTCTTTCATTCTTCCCTCCCTCCTCTTCTCCTTCCTTTCTTTCTCTCTTTTCCTTCTTGTTTCCTTCTTCCTACCTTCCTTCCTTCCCTCCTCTTTCTTCGTTCTTCTTCCCTCCTCTCCCCTTTCTTTCTCTTCTCTCTTCTTCCTTCCTTCCTTCCTTCCTTCCTTCCTTCCTTCCTTCCTTCCTCTCTCTCTCTCTCTCTCTCCCTTTCTCCTGCTATGAGAGGATCTCCCTCTCAGAGGGCCACTTCACCTAGCAACAACCTTAGTGGCATAGACAGACATACTTTGGCTTTTACATAAATAGCGAAGATTGTTCATTAAAAATACACTTTTTTCCTGCACCCCGAGACCCTCTTAAAGCTGATACAATGTATGTCTATTTGAATAAATAAATAAACATTTAAAATTTTACAAAACCTGATACACTGCAGGATCCATATGTGTGTGTGTATGTTTGTGTCTGTGTGGAATAGAAGCAGAACTTTACAAAACAATAAAATATCTCTTTCCACAGCCTTGGGAATCCCAATGTTTCTGCAGCAATTTCCCACACGATGTCTTCTGTGCCGATTCCTGGGGGCAATCTTTGCTCGTTTCTACGGATGTTGGGGTCCTGCTCTTAGACGGTTGGTAGATAGACTCACAACTCTACTCACAAATGTGTAAATTTGCGACAAATTGGTTTATTTATTATTTATTTATCATGTCAGAAGCAAATTGAGAATACAGTTATAGTGTATAAAAAAACCACAAACATTTAAAAATTTGACATTATATTAAATGTCCTTTGACCAATAGCTGGCCACTTGGAGTGCCTCTGGTGTTGCTATAAGAAGGTCCTCCATTGTGCATGTGGCAAGGCTCAGGCATTGTAACAGGTGGTCTGTGGTTTGCTCTTCTCCACACTCGCATGTTGTGGACTCCACTTGGTAGCCCCATTTCTTAAGGTTGACTATTCATCTCGTGGTGCCAGAGTGCAGTCTGTTCAGTGCCTTTCAAGTTGCCCAGTCTTCTCTGTGCCCAAGAGGGAGTTTCTCATCTGGTCTCAGCCACTGATTCAGGTTCTGGGTTTTAGCCTCCCACTTTTGGACTCTTGCTTGCTGAGGTGTTCCTGTGACTATCTCTGTAGATCTTAGGAAGCTATTTCTTGATTCAAGTCATTGGTATGCTGGCTCATATCCAAACAGAGGATGGGCCGGAGAGGTCAAATATCTTGGTCCATTCATTACAGGCTGCTACTTCACGATGGATGTCAGGTGGTGCAGTACTGGCTAAACAGTATAATTTATCTAGTGATGTGGGGTGTAGATATCCTGTGATAATGCGGCATGTCTCATTAAGAGCCACATCCACTGTTTTAGTGTGGTGAGATGTGTTCCGCACTGGGCATGCGTACTCAGCAGCAGAGTAGCAAAGCACAAGGGTAGATGTCTTCACTGTGTCTGGTTGTGATCCCCAGGTTGTGCCAGTCAGCTTTTAGCATATTATTTCTAGCACTCACTTTTTGCTTGATAGTCAAGCAGTGCTTCTTGTAAGTCAGAGCACAGTCCAAGGTAACTCCCAGGTATTTGGGTATGTTGCAATGCCCCAGTGGGATTCCTTTCCAGGTCATCCTCAGAGCTCGAGATACTTGTCTGTTCTTAAGGTGAAAAGCACATGTCTGTGTTTTAGATGGATTAGGGATCAGCTGGTTTTCCCTGTAATAGGCAGTAAGAGCGTTGGAGAGCTTCTGTTCAGCCATTTCAAAGCTCCCTGCTTGAGTGGTGATGGCATGATCATCAGCATAGATGAAACTCTCTGTCCCTTCTGGCAGTGGCTGATCATTTGTGTAGATGTTGAACATGGATGGAGCAAGCACACTCCCCTGAGGCAGGCCGTTCTTCTGTTTCCGCCATCTGCTTCTCTGGCCCTGGAACTCAACAAAAAAGCTCCTGTTTTGTAGCAGATTTCCTATGAAGTGGGTGAGGTAGTCATCCTTTGTGATATTATACATTTTTTCTCAAGGGGAGGCAATATTTAAAGTGTCGTAAGCTGCCGACAGGTCTGTGAAGAGACAACTCCACAACATAGTTAAAACAGCGAGATAAAGCAAAACACTGTTAAAATAAATACAACAAATAAGCACAGGTATATTTCTCTACTTGTGGAGAGAAATAGCGGGATATAAATAAACATGAAAATGATAATATAATAATAACACAGATTAAATGCAGGTTAGAATACACAAGTTAAAGTGGACTGGATAGGCCTGTTGAGTCTAGGGTAACTAGGCTCTGCTTCTTCTCCTTGCACTGAATCAGAGAATCATAGAGTTGGAAGAGACCTTGTGAGCCATCCAGTCCAACCCCATTCTGCCAAGAAGCAGAAAAATTGCATTCAAAGCACCCTCGACCGATGGCCATCCAGCCTCTGTTTAAAAGCTTCCAAAGAAGGAGCCTCCACCACACTCCGGGCAGAGAGTTCCACTGCTGAACGGCTCTCACGGTCAGGAAGTTCTTCCTCATGTTCAGATGGAATCTCCTCTCTTGTAGTTTGAAGCCATTGTTCCGCGTCCTAGTCTCCAGGGAAGCAGAAAACAGGCTTGCTCCCTCACTTCCACATATTTATACATGGCATCATGTCTCCTCTCAGCCTTCTCTTCTTCAGGCTAAACATGCCCAGCTCTTTAAGCCGCTCCTCATAGGGCTTGTTCTCCATACCCTTGATCAATTCAGTGCCTTCCTCTGGATATATTCCAGCTTGTCAATGTCTCCCTTCAATTGTGGTGCCCAGAATTGGACACAATATTCAATATTGTTTCTATTATAATGGCTTTCCTGAGCATCAGGAAACAAAGCCCATTTTCCAGCCAAGGGATTGTGAAATGTCTTCTTCAATCTCTTCCAGATGGACAGCCTTCGACTCTGGTGTTTGATAAAACTTTGCAAGTGAAGCAGATGCACATCCTGGAGACCTTGGACCTTCTGATCGCGAGAGCCGACAAAGGTAAAGAGGGCAGTATTAAGATAATGCACTGAAACATAGAGTTGGGGGAAATGGCATTGTGGATCCTGTTGTTTGGATGCTTTGATTTAAAATCTCCCATTAATGCCTCTGTTAATGCTTCCTGCCTCGCAGGAAAGGATTCCCGGCTCCTGGTCTTCAGGCTCAGCGCCGTCCAGAAAGGCATCGAAGGCAAGCAGATCAAGAGCAAATGCGACTGCAGGGAGAACAAGCTGGAGAAAACAAAAGGTGATCTGGAGTTGGTTGGGGCTGCATTCCTCCCTCACACAAGCTGTATTATATGCAGGGTTTAATCATAGAACTGGGAGAAACCCCCAAGGGCCATCTAGTCCATCTAGTCTTTCTGCCACACAACCAAAGCCCTCCCAACAGATGTCCATCTAGCCTTTCCTTCCAAAGAAAGTTAGGAATTATTGGCATTGAATCCAAAACACCTGGAGGGCCAAAGTTTGCCCATGCCTGCATTATACCAACAAAGTAGTACAAACTGCAGCCTTCCAGGTGTGACACTATTATTATTATTATTATTATTATTATTATTATTATTATTATTATTATTGACACAAAGCACAGTATGTCACAGCAAACGAGATCTATATGCTGGATTTCGTATCACAAAATCACAAGTCTAACACCTCCCAAGCGTCTAGGACTGTGTGATTTGTTATTATTATTATTATTATTATTATTATTATTATTATTAGAAACACAACAAAATCCCAAGCGTCTAGGACTATGTGATTTATTATTATTATTATTATTGACACAAAGACACAGTATGTCACATCAAACGAGATCTATATGCTGGATTTCATATCACAAAATCACAAGTCTAACACTTCCCAAGCGTCTAGGACTTTGTGATATATGATGATGATGATTATTATTATTATTATTATTGACACAAAAGCACAGTATATCACAGCAAACGATATCTCTATGCTGGATTTCGTATCACAAAATCACAAGTCTAACACTTCCCAAGCATCTAGGACTTTGTGATGTATTATTATTATTATTATTATTATTGACACAAAAGCACAGTATATCACAGCAAATGTGATCTATATGCTGGATTTCGTATCACAAAATCACAAGTCTAACATTTCCCAAGCATCTAGGACTGTGTGATGTATTATTATTATTATTATTATTATTATTATTATTATTTGAAACACAACAAGCTGAGCCCACAGCAGACACTCTGCTGGCTGTTGTATTGCATCACACATTGGACACTTCCCAAGTGTCTAGGACTGTGTGATGTATCGGTGAATAATGCGTGCAGATCCCAGTAAGGTGGCCTTTTGCACAATCTTGTCAGTGCCGATTGTGTTTAAGTGCAGGCCAAGGTCTTTAAGCACTGCACCCAGTGTGCCAATCACCACTGGGACCACCTTTACTGGTTTGCGCCAGAGTCTTTACAGTTCGATCTTTAAATCCTCATATTGTGTAATCTTTTCTATTTTATTATTTTATATTATTATTATTATTATTATTATTATTATTATTTCCGCCTTTTCTTTGTCCCACTTCTCTTTCTCTCCTCCTCCTCCTCCTACTTTTTCCCCTTCTCCTCTTCCTTTTTCTTATTCTCCTCCTCCTCCTCTCTTCCTCTTACTCGTCATCTCCTCCTTCTCCTTCTCTTCCTTCTCTTTTTCCTCCTCACAACCTCTGAGGATGCCTGCCATAGTTGTGGGTGAAACATCAGGAGAGGATGCTTCTGGAACATGACCAGGCAGCCCAGAAACCTCTGCAACCCAGTTATTCAGGCCATAGAAGCCTTTGTCAATCATTATTATTATTATTATTATTATTATTATTTGAAACACAACAAGATGAGTCCACAGCAGACAAGATCACTCTGCTGGCTGTTGTATTGGATCACACGTTGGACACTTCCCAAATGTCTAGGACTATTATTATTATTATTATTATTATTAATAATAATAATAATAATAATAATACCCTGCTTTATCTCCCTCAAAGGGGAGACTTTATCTCAACTCCCATCAGCTTTAGTCCATGATAATGTCTAATGATGAGGAAGGCAGGAGTTGTAGTCCAACATTGGGAGAAGGGCCACATATAATGATATGAAGGGCCGGATTTGACCCGCGGGCCTTCAGTCAGTTGTGATTCACAAAAGGGTTGCTCATCCACTCCCATTCTCTCTGACAATGTTTACTCCTGAGATATTCTTTCTAGGCTGTCATTGGTAGCCCCAAATCTCTTTCTCTTTTCCAGGCTGCCATTTGTATGCCATCAACACCCACCACGGCAACGAGCTGCGGGTTGTGGCCGCCATCCGGAACAAGCTGCTCCTCATCACCCGGAAGTTCTGGCAATGGGAAGGCCTCAGCAGCCCGCCCTCAATGTCCCCGCAGTCAGAGTCCCCCGTGGAGGAGTTCCAGTACATCCGGGTGAGTCGGGGGTCAATCGTGGTACTGAGACCCGCTTTTCCTTAAATCCGGAGGCTAATGGGGGCTTGTATTGTCGAAGGCTAGAATCACTTGGGTGTTGTTGTGTGGCTTCCAGGCTACATGACCAATGTGTTCTAGCAGCATTTTCTCCTCCTGATATTTCTGTTGAAGTTGTTTGGAATTTATAATGTAGATTTCAAAGTATGTATGTTTAAAAAGCAGTAGCTATGTGCCAAGAGTAATGTATTCCTGTGTAGAAAGAGTTAACTGAACCATGGAGGGAACAGCATTCCTAGAGAGGTCATAAATCAAGTATATAGAGCAAATGGACGCAGCATCGTAAGTCATACGTCACTCTAGAATGCAAGAGGTGTGGACTAGTACTGATAACAGACTGTTCGTGTGTTGGCGATGTTACGGTAGGGTGTGCTGAGTGTTAAGTAGCTTCTAATCTATATAGCTGTAAATAAAGTAGTTTATAGCCTAAAGTGGCTGTGATTGATTGTGTTCCTGCCTTGCTGTGCAGCCGAAGTCACTGACAGTTTCGCCTGCATCTGTGGCTAACATTTTCAGATAACATTTCTTTTCTAACATTGATACAGAAATAATAATAATAATAATAATAATAATAATAATAACTAAAGGTAAAGATTTTCCCCTGACATTAAGTCTAGCAATAATAATATAATTTCATAGTAATAATATAATTTAATAGCGACAATAATAATATCATTTAATAATAATAATAATAATATAAATAAATAAATACATTTTATTGATTAGCCCTTAGGCCATACCACCAGATCGAACTAAACAGCAAAGCTTGATACAACTGACTAAAACTCTACTAATAAGACACTTAAAGTTAAATAAGACACTTATAATAATACAGTAAATAGGTATGATAAAATTGAATATATACACCATATAATTAAATTTAATAATAGTAATACTACAATTTAATAGTAGTAATAATATCATTTAGTAATAATACCATGGCCATCAGACTGGAAAAAATCAACTTATGGTATATCCCCATACCAAAAAAGGGAAATGTGAAAGACTGCTCCAACTTCCGTACAGTGGCCCTTATTTCTCATGCCAGGAAGGTAAGGCTCAAGATCCTGCAAGGAAGACTCCAGCAAGACATGGAACGAGAGTGGCCAGATTTCAAGCTGGGTTCAGAAAAGGCAGAGGAACGAGAGACCAGATTGCCAATATCCGGATGCTGGAAAATGGAGAAAGGCAGGGAGTTTCAGAAAAACATCTACTTCTGCTTCATTGACTATTCTAAAGCCTTTGACTGTGTGGATCATAATAAATTGTGGCAAGTTCTTGGTGGGATGGGCATCCCAAGCCACCTTGTCTCTCTCCTGAGGATCTGTACAAGGACCAAGTAGCAACAGTCAGAACTGACCACGGAACAACAGACTGGTTCAAGATTGGGAAAGGCGTACGGCAGGCTGCATACTCTCACCCAACCTTTTTAACTTGTATGCAGAACACATCATGCAATGTGCGGGGCTTGAGGAATGCAAAGCTGGGTAAAATTGCTGGAAGAAACATTAACAACCTTAGATATGCAGATGACACCACTTTGATGGCTGAAAGCGAGGAGGAGCTGAGGAGCCTTCTAATCAAGGTGAAAGAAGAAAGCGCAAAAGCTGGGTTGCAGCTAAACAAAAAAACCAAGATTATGGCAACAAGAATGATTGACAACTGGAAAATAGAGGTAGAAAATGTGGAGGCCGTGACAGACTTTGTATTTCTAGGTGCAAAGATTACTGCAGATGCAGACTGTGGCCAGGAAATCAGAAGACGCTTCCTTCTTGGGAGGAGAGCAATGTCCAGTCTCGATAAAATAGTCAAGAGCAGAGACATCAGACTGGCAACCAAGATTCATTGCCTAGTCAAAGCCATGGTCTTCCCTGTAGTCACCTACGGATGTGAGAGCTGGACCTAGGGAAGGCTGAGCGAAGGAAGAGAGATGCTTTTGAGCTGTGGTGTTGGAGGAAAGTTCTGAGAGTGCCTTGGACTGCGAGAAGATCCAACCAGTCCATCCTCCAGGAAATAAAGCCCGGCTGCTCACTGGAAGGAAGGAGACTAGAGACAAAGTTGAAGTCCTTTGGCCACATCATGAGGAAACAGCAAAGCCTAGAGAAGACAATGATCCTGGGGAAAGTGGAAGGCAAAAGGAAGAGGGGCCGACCAAGGGCAAGATGGATGGATGGCATCCTTGAAGTGACTGGACTGACCTCGAAGGAGCTGGGGGTGGTGACGGCCAACAGGGAGCTCTGGCGTGGGCTGGTCCATGAGGTCACAAAGAGTCGGAGACGACTGAACGAATGAACAAGAATAATAATAATAATAATAATAATAATAATAATTTACTAATAATATAATTTAATAATAATATAATGTAATAATAGTTATAATATAATATAATTTCATAATAATAATTTACTAATAGCATAATAATAATAAAGTGTAATAATAGTAATAATATAATTTTATAATAGTAATTATTTGATAATTTGTGGCTTGGAGCCAGGTACAACACCATTCAGTCTTACCTGGTAGGTCCCTGAACCCTGGAGTTCAATGGAGTCTTCTCCTTCCTCCCAAGGAGATCTGCTTGTCCGACGTCCCGGTGGTCATGGCGTTGGTCGACGGCCCCACGGGGGAGAACGACAACCTCATCTGCGTCGCTTACCGGCACCAGTTTGACTTGGTCAACGAGAGCACTGGGGAGGCCTACCGTTTGCATCACGTCGAAGCAAGCAGGGTAGGTTCTGGCGTGCTTCCATAAAAGGGTTTGGGAAAGCTGACCTCCTTTTGAGATGCCTGAAGGTGGACAGAGAGGGAGGGAGGACGCTGAAGGTCATCCAAACGATCCAGCTCTGTTACTGCTGCCCACGACTGTTGCCTTTCCTGCAAGAGTCATGCAAGTGTTTGGCAAATGGGTTGTTGTTGAGGGAGGAAGGGAATACCATTCTCCGCAATGGCAAGAGAATGAGATCCGCAGGAGAGATGGGTACAGACTTAAGTGTGTGTATATTGTTGGAGTTCGGTGAGTCCCTAGTATCTTTTCTCCCAGTTAGACACTGCTCTCATCTTTTCCAATTGCCTGTCTAGGGGCCCTTCTACAGTCATATAACCCAGAATATCAAGGCAGAAAATCCCACAACTGGGTGGTATGAGTCCACACTGCCATATATTCCAGTTCAAAGCAGATTTTATTATTTTATGGAAGGGGTCTTGGGCTTCTGCTCCGTTTTGTCTCGCAGAGACTGCCAGAATAAGCTTTAGATAGGTAAAAAAAAAAAAGGTAAAGGTTTCCCCCTGACATTAAGTCCAGTCATGTCTGACCCTGGGGTGTGGTGCTCATCTCCAATTCTAAGCCGAAGAGCCGGCGTTGTCCATAGACACCTCCAAGGTCATGTGGACTGCATGGAGCGCCGTTACCTTCCCGCCGGATCTACTCACATTTGCATGTTTTCGAACTGCTAGGTTGGCAGAAGCTAGGGCTGACAGCGGAAGCTTACGCCACTCCCCGGAATCGAACCTGCAATGTATAATATCACAAACAAGTTAAGCAGTTCAGCGGTTTAATCCGCTGCACCACAACGGCCCCACTATTAAGACAGGAGGGAGAGGGAATTAGGGGATTTGAGAAGAGTATCTAAAGCCCCCCGGTTGGCGGTTCGAATCTGCGGGACAGGGTGAGCTCCTGCTGTTAGCCCCAGCTTCTGCCAACCTAGCAGTTCGAAAAAATGCAAATGTGAGTAGATCAATAGGTACCTGTGTAGGCAAGACACAGAGCCCCGACATCACCAGCAGGATGATAGTTGACGTGTGAAATGATTGCAGAACGGGGTTGGCTGTCAGTCAGCGCTATTGATGGAGTCAACTGGGAGTGCGGCGCCTCCTCTCTGCCCGATGCGACACCGGCGAATTGTTCTCGAAGAGATTGCCGTAGAGCGAGCCTCCCGCCCTCCCACTACCCTTGCCCGTTGTCATTGCAGGTTAATTTTGTTGCAGCTATTGATGTGTACGAAGATGGAGAGGCCGGCCTGCTCTTGTGCTACAACTGTAAGTACCGTCCGCTCCGTCCTGTTCTCCTGCCGGGTCCACGTCTCTGTTTGGCCTGTGCCGCTTTCTTATTATCGAGCGTGATGGTGTCAACCTCTCGTTCCAGATGTCTGCTATTACCGCAAAGTGTGCTCCTTCAACGGGGGCTCCTTTCTGGTCCAGCCGTCGGCGTCGGACTTCCATTTCAGCTGGAATCAGGTCCCTTATGCGATCGGTAAGAACATTAAAATACCACAAGAGATAAAGGAGTTAATCTGCAGTTTACTAATCGCAGCAAGGCTGAAAATAGCTAAAAATTGGAAAGAAAACATGATTTTCAGTTACAAGATGGAGCCCCCGGTGACGCAGTGGGTTAAACCCTTGGCGGCTCAAATTTATTATTTTATTTATTTATTTACTAGCTGTCCCCTGCCACGCGTTGCTGTGGCCTACATGGGGGTTCTGTATGGGGGGTTTGGCCCAATTCTATCGTTGGTGAGATTCAAAATGCTCTGTGATTGTAGATGAACTATAAATCCAAGCAACTACAACTCCCAAATGTCAAAGTCTATTTCCCACAAACTCTACCTGTGTTCACATGTGGGCATATTGAGTATTCGTGTAGAGTTTGGTCCAGATCCATCATTGTTTGAGTCCACAGTGATCTCTGGATGTAGGTGAACTATAAGTCCCAAACAGAAGGTCAGTGCCCACCAAACCTTTCCAGTACTGGGTTGTTGTAGGTTTTGTCGGGCTATATGGCCATGTTCTAGAGGCATTATCTCCTCATGGGAGTTCTGTGTGCCAAGTTTGCCCCAATTATATCGTTGGTAGGTTCAGAATGCTCTTTGATTGTAGATGAACTATAAATCCCAGTCAAAGTCTATTTCCCACAAACTCTACCAGTGCTCACATTTGGACATATTGAGTATTTGTGCCAAATTTGGTCCAGATCCCTCATTGTTTGAGTCCACAGTGCTCTCTGGATGTAGGCGAACTACAAGTCCCAAACTCAGGGTCAATGCTCAACAAACCCTTCTAGTGTTTACTGTTGGTCATGGGAGTCCTGTGTGCCATGTTTGGTTCAATTCCATCGTTGATGGGGTTCCGAATGCTCTTTCATTGTAGGGGAACTATACATCCCAGCAACTACAACTCTCAAATGACAAAATCAATCCCTCCCAACCCCACCAGTATTCAAATTTGGGCGTTTCGAGTATTTGTGCCAAATTTGGTCCAGTGAATGAAAATATATAGTGAATCTTACCTAGTAGGCCGGAAAGGAAGCCTGGATAACAGTATGGCAAACCTCCATTTTGGGAGTGTATGCCAGGGAAGCAGCCATCTTGAATGAGGATAGATAGAAGATGGGAGGAGTTTGGAGTCTCCTGGGATTGGGTAGAGCAGTTGGGAGGAGCCAAGTCTTAGGAGGGAAACGTTGTCAGCTTCTGTAGAGTTGAGAACTCGGAGCTGGTGGGAGAAGAAGTGTTTTTGAAACTGTGTTTTCAGGGAGAGAGAGTCTGTGTCAGACAGGGTTGATTAGCTGACAGGAAAGCTCAGGCAGCAACCTGATTTCTTGTGGGAGATAGCACAAGAGATTAGCTCTCTAGACTGAGTTAGTTAGCAAGAAGAACTCTGGGGTGAGTTTGCTGATAACTCATGGGACTACCTAGGATAGGTTAGTCAGAAACTCATTACTATTTCTCTGAAGTAGAGAGAGATTTTTGTTACTAGCAGCTAAATCTGCTTGATTAGCTCTGACTGTAACTAAATGAAGAAACTTATTCTAGCAACCATCAAGCTGTAGTACTTTTGTAACAAGTCAAGCGTTGTGTGCCTCTCAGAAGTAGTTATCTGTTTTTATAAATAAATCTTTTTCTATTTTACTTCCTAAATGGTCTCTATCGTTCCTAAAAGACAAGCAGTGTTCACTCTACCATTACACATATCTATCTATCTATCTATTATTATTATTATTATTATTATTATTATTAACTTTATTTGTACCCCCCTAACGTCTCCCAAAGGACTCGATGCGGCTTACAAAGGCCAAGGCCTCAATAAAACAACAATATAACAAATACACATAAACCAAAAGCAAATCAAAACATTACGCAATAACAGTGAGCAATAAAAACAGTACACCGTAACACAATAAAAACTACATCTCGCTACCAAATTAGAGGCACAGGGGGAGGATTTTTGAGAAAAAAGTGAATCTTTGGGAGAAGAATCATCCTGCCCAGACATATTATCAATACGCCTCCAGCCTTACGTCACTGGTTGTGATATTTTCCGTCTTACTGGTGTCCAGTGGTGTGATATTACAAAATACATCCAGCATATCAGATATTTATATTATGATTCATAGCAGGAGCAAAATGACAGTTATGACGTAGCAATGAAAATAATGTTATGGTTGGGGGTCACCACAAATGAGGAACTGTATTAAGGGGTTGCCGCATTAGGAAGGTTGAGAAACACTGTTCTAGTCGGAGATGGGATCCACTATTAGGAGAAAGCTGACCATTGATCAGGAAGCTTGCAAACGACCAGCATCCTGGATGTCCCGCACGTTGTTCCCTTCCTTGAAGCATCCTCTCCTCTTTCAGTTTGCGCCTTCCCGTACATCCTGGCCTTCACCACCGATTCCATCGAAATCCGCTTAGTGGTGAACGGGAACCTCGTCCACACGGCTGTGGTCCCTGCGCTTCAGCTGGTGGCCTCGCGGGTAAGGGACACAAAGGCCAAGGGACTTGGGATATTTGGCATGGAGCTGGCCCCACTTACCGCATTCACTCTCCTTTCTTGCAGTCAGATATCTACTTCAGAGCGGCCTCTGCCGTGAGCGGACCGTCCAACGGCAGCTCCAAGGAGGCCAGTTCCCCTAGTTCTCCCCAGACGCCGTTGGTGCAGGAAATCCCCGTTTTCTCTCCTTCTGCGGCAGAAGGTAAATACAGAAGGAGCTGAGATGTGCAAAGTGAGTTTTACAAGCAGGACAAGGAGAAAGAGAAGTGCCACCGACTTGCAGGATAGTGTTGAGAAGGAAAAGGTGCCGGCAGGGAAGAGGAGGTTGGATTGCGTGTGTTCATGTGTGTTAGCTGTTGGGGTTCAGCCTGAGTTTGAACTTGAACCTGATTCTCTGTTTGTTCCTCCTGATGCTAATGAAAGTATATTTACTGATGCTAGTGGAAATGTACCTTTTGATGCCAATGCTCCTGAAATTAGTGAGGAAGAAACTGCTGTAGGTTTGGAAAATGCCAATGTTCCTGAAATTAGTGAGGAAGGAACTTCTGTAGATTTGGAAAATGAAAGTACCAGTGTTCATGAGAATGTTTCAGAGGGAGACCTTGAACTTTCCCTCCCTTCTGCACCTGTTAACTGTAATGACAACAGGAGGTGCCAAATTTGGGAAGACAGAAGTAAATCACTCAGTTTGCGTCAATCCTCCCGAATTCAAGAATTAAAAACATTGGCTTCAAAACAGAAGGGCGGTTCACGGAACCAATTCTTGAGTTTTAATTGCAATACGCCGAGCTGATTGTCTCAGTTCAGGCATCGTTTCAGAATTGATGAAGACCTTGGCAGTTCTCCCGGTTCCCTGGCCATAGTTTGGGAAGATTTCTAGGATATCAAGTACGGTAACAGGTTCCAGTATTTTACAGTGTGGCTTTGGGTTTTGATCTTGTTCATGGACGTTCATGTTTGCTGATTTTGCTGTGGCTTTTGACTTTGCATTTTTCCTTTATTTTGTAACCATTTTTATTCAATAAAAAAGGATTGCTTTTCACAGCCAAGTGTGGTGGATAGTTATCTTAGGGCCTCGTTCCCTGTTCTGGATTGCAACATTAGCGCCAGTTTGGACGACTATAAAACCCATGATCCATGGTATTCAAGGGTGGCACTCCGCTTTTGCAATGTGGCAACCACCCCCCTTAGTGTTTTTCTGCAGAAGTAAACTATTATATTTTTAATACATGTTTTTATTTTTTATTGTATTTTTAATACAAGTTTTTATTTTGTATAAGGAAGTAAGGGAAAAAGAAAGTGTTTAATTATCCAAGTAAAGTGGGGGAACAATTTGATTAAAGGAAAGTAGGAAAAAGAGAGAGAGAGAGAAATGAGTACAAACGAAAGGGAATCGAATAATAACCAAAAAAAGGGGAAAAAAAGAGAATAGGGGAAAAGGGAATATATATGCTTTTTACTTTTATATATATATGCTTTCCCCTATTTTCTTTTATTTCTTTTTTTGGTTGTTATTAAGAATAATAAGAATTTTGGGTTATTATTAAGAATAATGAAGAAGAAAAAGTAAAAAGCATATATATATATATATATACACACACACACACACATTATTGTATTTTTAATCTCCTCGTTCCTACTTTCTGATTGGGAAATAAAAGAGACTAGAGATATTGGGCAGCGGCACAGAGGGTTAAACCGCCGAGCTGCTGAACTTGTAGATCGAGAGGTCGCAGATTCGAATCCGGTTAGCGGTGTGAGCTCCCGCTGTTAGCCCTAGCTTCTGCCAATCTAGCAGTTCAAAAACATGCAAATGTTAGTAGATCAATAGGTACCACTCCGGCGGGAAGGTAAGGCCTCTCCGTGCAGTCATGCCGGCCACATTACCTTGGAGGTGTCTATGGACAATGCCAGCAATTCCCAGTTAGAATTGGAGATGATCGCCGATCCCCTGAGTGGGACACGACGGGACTTAATGTCAGGGGAAAACCTTTACCTTACGTATTATTATTATTATTATTATTATTATTATTATTATTATTATTCGGGGAAAGAGCAGAGTCATCTGACATTATTATTATTATTATTATTATTATCATCATCATCATCACCATCATGATTAGAGATATAGGGGCATTGTGTCTCAACTGTAAGGGAGCCAGAAGGTGCCAGCACACAAATGGTTGCTTTGAGCAAAAGCCTGCAAGCCTTTTGGTCCTCAAACGCACCTGAAGGCACAAGTCATCCAAACGAGGAGCTGGTTTCTCTTCTGTGACGCTCCCCTTTGTCGTTCCAGGCGAAGCGCTGTGCAGGAACATCTACAAAATCCCACTCAGCAACCTAGTTGGCAGGAGCATTGAGCGCCCATTGAAGTCCCCTTTGGTCCCCAAAGTCATCGCCGCCCCGACTTCTGCTGCTGTCGGCATCCCAGTGGCGCCTTCCCTCCCCTTGGCGCGCATTGAGATCAAAGAGATCGCGAGCCGGACGCGCAAAGAACTACTTGGTAAACACCCCACAACTGCGAGTTCCCTCTTGGGATCATTGCCTTTATTCGGGACCATATTTATTATTTTATTTATTTATTTGGGGACTCAGGGCGGTTCACAGTATTGGCAGTTTAGAATCATAGAATAATAGAGTTTGGGATAGCCAAGACTTCTGCCTGAAGCCCTGGAGTCAGCATAGAAAGGAGTCAACATAGTTAGGTGGACATCAGTGATCAGGACAAGATGGGTCAACTCTTCTAACTGTTATTATTCTAACCCCAGCTCTCTCTTCCTTTCCTGCTTCCTTTCCCAGGGCTCCTTGGAGAGTCTGCCCCGAAGACGGAAGGAGGGCAGAAACAGAAGAAAGCCCCCCCAAAACAGTCGGAACCCAAGCAGGGAACCCAAGTACGGTCAACAAGCAGCGACAGGTACGTCCGGAGGAGTGTTGGGGCTCTACTTTAAACAAATTATGAGCATATATACACACGGCGTTGGCCAGTTTTGCATTTTGTTTGTGGCTCTTCCCTCTATTTTTCTTCCCTCTCTTTTCCTTCCTTTTTCTTTCCTTCTTATTATTTCTTCCCTCTCCTTCCTCCCTCCTTGTTCCATTCCTTTCCCTTCGCTTTCTTTATTACCTTCTCTTCCCTTATACTTTCCCCCTTTCCTTTGTCTCCTTTCATCCAACATTTTATTGGAAGTCACAGTCTCTCCACCTCAGACACCAAAACACAGATTTTTCTTAAATTGCTTACTTCATTATGGGTTAGGTGTCCCTGCTTGGCCTCGAGGGCTGTGTTGTAGGCCTCATGGTGCATCTATTTCATTTACCAGCAGCTAATCCTTTCTATGTATTGCCCTCTTGTGGTTGCATTTGGGCATTGCATATCTATTTACCTAGAGACTAGTAGCTAATCCTTTCTATCAATGTATTGCCCTTTTGTGGTTGCATTTGAGCATTGCAGATATATATATATATATATATACACACACACACACACACACACACACACACCTAGAGACCAGCAGCTAATCCTTTCTGTGTATTGCCCTTTTGTGGTGGTATCTGAGCACTGCATACATATATACTATTAGACTAGTAGCTAATCCTTTCTGTGTATTGCCCTCTTGTGGTGGTATCTGAGCACTGCATACATATATACTAATAGACTAGTAGCTAATCCTTTCTATCGATGTATTGCCCTTTTGTGGTTGTATTTGAGCATTGCATATATATATATATATACCTAGAGACCAGCAGCTAATCCTTTCTGTGTATTGCCCTTTTGTGGTGGTATCTGAGCACTGCATACATATATACTACTAGACTAGTAGCTAATCCTTTCTATGTATTGCCCTCTTGTGGTTGCATTTGAGCATTGCATACATATTTACCTAGACACCAGGAGCTAATCTTTTCTATGTATTGCCCTCCTGTGGTTGCATTTGAGCATACATATATGCCTAGAGACCAGGAGCTAATCCTTTCTATGTATTGCCCTCTTGTGGTTGCATCTGAGCACTGCATACATAGATATACATATATACCGTAGCTTATTCACGGATTTTGGGAAAATTTTCAAAGTTTTTATAAACAATATTTTAAAAAAAACTGCAAGAGGTATTTCCTTGAATTTTCTATACAATGATACAAGATAACAGGATTATTCTCTGGCATAGGGCTCATTGCCTTCCCAAACTACATTCCCCAGAATTCTGTGCTTTCTCAAGTCTCTTTCCCAGCGAACTCTGCTTTCTCCCTGCTGTTTCCCTCTCCTAATGGCGAGAGGCCATTCATTTAAAGAGGAAAGGCAGCCTTTTTGGCTTTGTTGCACTGAACATGAAATTTTCCATACAATGACACAAGATAACGGGATCATTCTTTGGCATAGGGCTCCTTGCCTTACAAAACTACATTTCCCAGAATTCTGTGCTTTCTTAAGTCTCTTTCCCAGCGAACTCTGCTTTCTCCCTGCTGCTTCCCTCTCCTTATGGCGAGAGTCCATTCATTTAAAGAGGAAAGGCAGCCTTTTTGGCTTTGTTTTGCTTTCTTGCACTGAACATGAAACTGACTTTGGGAGGCTTCCAACATTTACAAAATACAAATGAAAAAGTATTGGGTAAGTTTTGATTTGTAAGGTTTTGGTGTAAGCCATGCCCGCGCATTGGAGATCATCTTGTAAGTATGAATTTAATGAATCTGATATGACTAATGATGATTAACAAAAGCATTGCACAACCCTACTAGCTATCAGGGTCTGCTTGAAAACATATGTGCAGTTACAACGCCCTTTCTCTGCTTCCAGGATCGCTGCAAGCTCCTTGGAGAGCAGCTCCGACGGCGGACCCTTCTCCCCCAGTTCGGAGCCCGACTCCGGTCCCCAGGGCCAGAGTCCCCCCCCTTCCGGAAGCCCCCCCTTCTGCCTCGGGGCCTCCTTCGAGGAGGAAGACATCGACTTGAAATGACGTCCGCAGGTTGCCCCTTTGCCTTCCTTCCCCTCCTTCCCCATTTTCCTATTCGGGACAATCACGCTTTGCTTTCTAGAGACGACTCTGGGAGGGCTCAGCGTGCCAAACCCTATTAATCTTGGAGGGAGAGGGAGCGGGGCAGGCGATATGTGGGTCATTCAATGGTCAAAATCGTATCGAAGGCTCCTACTTGGCTCAAGTCTGTTTCAACCCATCCCTACTGGTTGGAATAACACCGAGCCAACCACAACCTAAGAGACCCGAGACCAGAGAAACAAATCGCTTGAATGATCTGAGAAAGGAGGAAAGCCCATTGGATGTCTCCGTGATGTTGCAACGAAGCAAGAGGGACGTAAACAAAAAGGAGACCAGGAGGCCCTAAGGAATGGCCTGGTTATAGGTGATAACTGCTACCGTTTTCCCCTTTTCTAACAGAGGGAAAGCGCATTTCCTCCTCTCCTTCATATCCTTTTCGTTTGTTGATGGTGGACGCATACGTTGGATATCTTTGGAGAGGTGTTACGATGGGACAGCTTTCACTACGGCCTGCCTATGGTTTTTATCAAGGCCCGAGTATGAGTTTTATTAAGGCCCGAGTATGGGTTTTATTAAGGCCCAACTACGGGTTTTATCAAGGTCCGACAATGGATTTTATCAAGGTCCGACGATGGGTTTTTATCAAGGTCAGACGATGGGCTTTATCAAGACCCAACGATGGGTTTCATTAAGGCCTGATGATGGATTTTATTAAGAACTGATGATGGGTTATATTAAGGCCCAACAACGAGTATTATTAAGGCCAGACTATGGTTTTATTAGGACCCAACTACGGGTTTTATCAAGGTCTGACGATGGGTTTTATTAAGACCCTACAATGGGTTTTATTAAGGTACATGATGGGTTTTGTTAAGGTCCGACGATGGGTTCTATTAAGACCCAACGATGGGTTTTATTAAGACCTGATGATGGGTTTTATTAAGAACTGATGATGGGTTTTATTAAGGCCCAACTATGGGATTTATTAAGGCCCAACAATGGGTTTTATTAAGGCCCGATGATGGGTTTTATTAAGGCTCGACTATGGGTTTTATTAAGGCCCGACAATGGGTTTTATTAAGGCTCGACTACAGGTTTTATCAAGGTCCAATGATGGGTTTTATTAAGACCTGATTATAGGTTTTATTAAGACCTGACTACGGGTTTTATCAAGGTCCGACAATGGGTTTTATTAAGGTCCAACTATGGGTTTTATTAAGGCCTGACGATAGGTTTTATTAAGGCCCGACGATGAGTTTTATTAAGACCCAACTATGGGCTTTATTAAAGCCTGACGATGGGTTGTATTAAGGCCCGACAATGGGTTTTATCAAGGTCCAATGATGGGTTTTATTAAGACCTGATTGTAGGTTTTATTAAGATCTGACTACGGGTTTTATTAAGGCCCAACGATAGGTTTCATTAAGATCTGACAATGGGTTTTATTAAGGCCTGACGATGGGTTTTATTAAGGCTCGACGATTTGTTTTATTAAGGCCCAACTATGGGTTTTATTAAGGTCCAACGGTGGGTTTTATTAAGGCTCGACTACGGTTTTATTAAGGTCCAACTACGAGTTTTATCAAGGTCCAACGATGAGTTTTATTAAGACGTGACGATGGGTTTTATTAAGGTACAGGATGGGTTTTATTAAGACCCAACTATGGGTTTTATTAAAGCCTGACGATGGGTTTTATTAAGGCCCAATGATGGGCTTTATTAAGGTCTGACAATGGGTTTTATGAAGGTCCAGGAATGGGTTTCATTAAGGCCTAACTATGATCTGCGTATCAGTTTCATTAAGGTCTGACTTGGTTTCTTTAAGGTCTCTCTATGGGTTTTCTAAGAAGGATCGAACACAATGTCGGACTAGACAAGACTCTGGTCCCTTTGAATACCTTTACAAACACGCCAATGCCCAGTGAATGACGGGCATCTTCTCTGTCGGTCACCGTTCTGCCGACGAATCGAGTTAAGGTAGCATTCCATTACAATAACTGTCTTTCTATTGACTGTAGCAGATATCCAGTAGCAGTTTTCTTAAACCGAAGCCTTTTTCCCTTCCCCAAATCCATACTCATTTCCCTCTGTCTGTTTATATAATGCAGTGGTTCCCAACCTGTGGTCCGTGGACCACCAGTGGTCCGCAAGAACGAAAATACGGCCTCACCGTTACCACAGAAACTAGAGCTGATGTGGTCTATCCAATGCAATTGTCTGAATCAGCACCCCAAATAACCAAACTGAATCTAAAGTTGACCAAAAACTGATTCATAATACTAATGTTGGAGAGTGGTCCCTGGTCAAAAAAAAGGTTGGGAATCACTGATATAATGAATGACACATGTCAATGTTAATGGAGTGACACATGAGGATGTTTATACCGCAAGGTCGTCGTATTTCCCTATCCCCATCCCCAAAAAAAGGTGCATTATTTTGCGGCTTTGGCCCATTGAGCTTCCCTCTTCTTGGTCTTGTGACTGTTAATCCATTTGCAGGAGAGCTAAAAGGCACCCAAAGGAAAGAGCTGAGCCTGTTTAACCAAAGCAGAAGAAATATGCATTGACCTTATTTATTTACTTTATTATTTATTTATAGTATTTACATTCCGTCCTTCTCACCCCGAAGGGCGGATCACAGAACACATATACAGCAAACATTCGATGCCAGGACAGACAACTACGTAGATAGAGGTATATAGACTTTTCCCATCTTCGGCACCTTGGAGGTTGGGCTCAATTCTGGCCACGGGGGGTGCTGTCAATCCATCCTCCATGGCGAAGAGCCTTGTTCACTGACTTCCTCCTTTTTTGATCGAATTAACTGCACTTTCTTTATGGTGCCATTAAAATACCTACCTATTTCTCTACTCACAGCTGTTTTCGATCTGCTAGGTGGGCAGTGAGCTGGGCTGACGGTCAGGTGCTCACCCCTGACCTGGGCTTCAAAATGGCAACTTTCCAATTGCAGCTGGTGCTTAACCTGTTGTGCTAAAGTCTGGCCCTTACATTGGGTATAGTTGGTCTCTCTTGAGCTATTTTCCTTTCTCTCACACTTTTTCCATAGGTTTTTTTCCAATTTTAATTATTTTTTCATTATAGGTGAAAAGCTGGCCCAGAAATATTTTGTGTGTGTGTGTGTGTGTGTGTGTGTGTGTTAGGAAGCTGAGATGCTCTCTGTCTACTTGAAGGGATTCCGTATGTACCGACCAATCGGTCATGCAAAGCCTCAAAGCCTCTTGTCCATTTCCCCTCGGATTCGGATTTTTCTGCGTGACGTTTCTAATGTTTGTATTAATTTCCTTTCTCAAGCAGTTCTGTCTGCTTTTCCGAAGATGCGCCTTATATTGGTTTCTTTATTTGCTGTTCAGAAACGGAGCAATACTTTTTCTGGGAAACGGTGCCCTAAAAGGACGGAAAGGACTGGTCTTTAAGGAAGGCTTTTTGCCATTGCGGAACGGCATTCCTTCTCCTGTCCCTGCCTCTTCGGAACCTGGATTTTTGGGTGGCTGTGAGTTTTCCAGGCTGTCTGGCCATTTCCAGAAGCATTCTCTTCTGACGTTTCACCTCCTCTATGACAGACATCCTCAGATGTTGTGAAATCTATCGGAAACTGGGCACGTGGGGTTTATATATCTATAGAATAATGTCCAGGGTGGGAGAAAGAACTCTTGTGTGTTGGAGGCAAGTGTGAATGTTGCTAATAATAATAATTATTATTATTATTATTAATAATAATAATAATAATAATAATAATAATATTTATTTATACCCCGCCACCATCTCCCCCAACGGGGACTCAGGGCAGCTTACACGAGGCCACCTTGATTAGCATTTAAGTGGGTTAAACCCCTGTGCTGGCAGGACTGAAGACCGATAGGTCGCAGGTTCGAATCCGGGGAGAGGCGGATGAGCTCCCTCTATCAGCTCCAGCTCCTCATGCGGGGACATGAGAGAAGCCTCCCACAAAGATGATAAAAACATCAAATCATCCAGGCGTCCCTTGGGCAACGTCCTTGCAGACGGCCAATTCTCTCACACCAGAAGCGACTTGCAGTTTCTCAAGTCGCTCCTGACACGACAAAAAAAAGTCTTGCAGCTTCAAAGCCCGGCTGCTTCCTGCCTGGGAGAGAGAATGCTTCTGGAACATGGTCATACAGCCCGGAAAACTCACAGCAACACACAGAAGATTCCTTATCGAGCACTGTTTTGGCCTGGGAGGGTGGGTTCAGAGTCAGACACGTATACTTAATTTATCTCTGTGGAGATGATATATTTAAAATTATTCACAGATGGAGGAAAAGGGAGCAGCTGGAGTAGCGTGAGATTACTGAAATATATTGGAGGGGTTGCCGAGAGTGTAGCTATTGATATATATATATATAGGTATAGGTATAGATATATATAGACATATATGGAATCATATATATATATGTATGTATATGGAATCCTATTGGAGGGATACGACTAAATGAAGATATTTAGCTCTCCCTAATGCCGCTGTTTCCCCCATTCGGATCACATTTAGCCTCAAAACACAAAGAATTAATGGACAGGACATCTTTTCCACCATAGAGAGGGGATAGCAATGCCCTTTTTCGAGAGTTGATCCCCCTGCCGTTAACTTTTTAACCTTTTTATAAATAGAGGGCCGTTTCGACTTACAACCCACCGACTCGTTGCTCATCGGCGTCAATTTTTGGGGTGTCATCGCCACTGTCCACCTTTCAGGGAGGCTGTCGAAAACATCATCATGATACGTAGCATCTCTTTAGCTTTGTGTGAATCTGGACCCAAAGAGGGACCGCCCCATGTTTACAATTGTTAAGATGCGGCTAGCAAGGTAACAACAACATGAAGGGGAATATTTTCCTTAAAAACAGCTTCCTTTACTTCTTTTGTACTTGAAATTTTCAAGAGGAGAGAAAGAAGGGTTTGTCCGTGCGACGGCTGCCGTTTCCTTGTTGACGGTGCTCAGAGTGTGTTGTGTTTGCCCATTTTTGTGACGCTTCGCAGTTTGTATTTTGCTGTCTTCCTTTTTTGCTTAATATCAAAGAGGAAACTCATACAATGGGCGTTCATTAAAGATGTCCCCTGACCCACTTCTGTTTCTCACAGGACGCTGAAACTATACACGTGGAATGATATAAGTTTCTATAGGTTACGTGCCAATTTACAACTCAGAACGGATAACGGTCTTGATTGTACAGGTGCGGAAGTGGAGTGAGGTTTGAGAATGGACCCAGTGGAAGACAGAGCAGTCACCAAGTTCCTTTCCTTGAAAGGCTGCATACCAAAGGAGACGTTCGATGAGATGAAAGAGGTTATTTTATTTATTTATCGTGTCAGGAGCAACCAGACATTTGTATTACATTTTTAACAAAACAAACAAACAGACAAAACACAAAATGTGCAAGCTTGGTAGTTGATTAAATGTCCTTTGACCAGTACCTGGCCACTTGGAGTGCCTCTGGTGTGGCCGTAAGAAGATCCTCCATTGTGCATGTGGCAGGGCTCAGGTTGCATTGCAGCAGGTGGTCAGTGGTTTGCTCTTCTCCGCACTTGCATGTCGTGGATTCCACTTTGTGGCCCCATTTCTGAAGGTTGGCTCTGCATCTCATGGTGCCAGAGCGCAGTCTGTTCGGCACCTTCCAAGTCGCCCAGTCTTCCATGTGCCCAGGGGGGAGTCTCTCATTTGGTATCAGCCATTGGTTGAGGTTCTGGGTTTGAGCCCTGCCACTTTTGGACTCTTGCTTGCTGAGGTGTTCCAGCGAGTGTCTCTGTAGATCTTAGAAAACTATTTCTTGATTTAAGTCATTGACGTGCTGGCTGATACCCAAACAGAGGATGAGCTGGAGATGTCTCTGCCTTGGTCCTTTCACTATTGGCTGCAACTTCCTGGCAGATGTCAGGTGGTGCAATACCGGCTAGGCAGTGTAGTTTCCCCAATGGTGTAGGGCACAGACACCCCGTGATAATGCGGCATGTCTCATTAAGAGCCACATCCACTGTTTTAGCGTGGTGAGATGTGTTCCACACTGGGCATGTGTACTCAGTAGCAGAGTAGCATAGTGCAAGGGAAGATGTCTTCACTGTGTCTGGTTGTGATCCCCAGGTTGTGCCAGTCAGCTTTCAAATGATATTATTTCTAGCGCCCACTTTTTGCTTGATATTCAGACAGTGCTTCTTGTAGGTCAGAGCACGGTCCCGAGTGACTCCCAGATATTTGGGTGCGCTGCAATGCTCCAGTGGGATTCCTTCCCAGGTAATCCTCAGAGCCCGGGATGAACGTGATCCCCAGATTCATGGTGATGGTGATGAAAGAGGTTAATGATGATGATTCCCTATCATATGATGTTGTCAAGAACTGGCACCGTCCATTCCAACGTGGTCGGACTTTGGTGGAAACGGTGCCAATCCCAGGGTGATCCCTCTCTGCTATTGATGAACACACCATCCAGCAAGAGTGCAAAATCGCTGCGTAACCCTTCACCACTGAGTCCAAAAGGTCAAGATGAGTGTGGAGTCTGTGGAAAAAATCACCCAAGACCATCTTCCCATGCATAAGGTGTCCGCTCGCTAGGTCCCACGGCTGCTCACACCTTTCCAGAAGCAGGAACGAGTCGAATGCTCTCAGGCTGTCTTGACAATGACGTGTCATGGAAACCAGGAGGGCTTTGTCAACAGACTGATCACACAGGAGGAAAGCTGGGTCCATCACTCTGATCCTGAGACTCAAGTCCAGTCAATGCCATGGAAGCATCCTGACTCACTGCCTCCAAAGAAGGCATGTGCCCAACTCTCGGCAGGCAAGGTCACGCTCACAGTATTTTGGGACCAGCACGGAGAAGGATGGATGGATTTCCTAGCAAAGGGGACCATCATCACTGGGGCAGACTAGGCTTCACTGCTGCAGAAATGGCCATCCAAACCAAGAGACGATGTGGCATGCTCACTAGTTCACAACTCACCTGTTGCCCAAATAGAAACATGCTCCCGTTGCTTTGAAATTTGACTGCATCCCCCTTCTTCACCCGACTTCGCACCATTGGACTTCCACCTCTTTCCAACAAGGAAGTTATTTTTGAAGGGCAAGCATTTTTCAGATGAGAAGACTTGGATTTCCGAAGGTTTTCGAGCAACCTGTCGACTTCTACAAGCGAGGTGTTTACAGTTGCTTCAAAAGATGGGAGAAGTGTGTATCCCTCAGTGGTACCCATGGAGGGAAGGACTCAGAACTGGGCCAAGTTGCATTGCTCTCCGTCCACAGGAAGAGGGTCAGGGGACATCTTGAAAGAACGCCCCTCGTAAAGTCTCCCCCAGTTTCTCCCTTTTAGGTTGGATGCTGCTTCCCAGACCGTC